ATGATTTGTCTGGAAATCAGAGTTTTGATCTAAATCCATCTTACCCAGCTGATGATAAATATAGAGTCATTTAATTTGAAGGCAACATTTACAAGATCAATTCTTATCGCAGATCAATCCCTATACTAGACATAGACACACTATTTATATCACTTTAGCTTAAAGTGTGACCAGAATGTCTTCTAGAGTAAGATGGGGTTGAGATCATTATAAGATCACTTTAGCTTAAAGTGTGACCAGAATGTCTTCTAGAGTAAGATGGGGTTGAGATCATTATAAGATCACTTTAGCTTAAAGTGTGACCAGAATGTCTTCTAGAGTAAGATGGGGTTGAGATCATTATAAGATCACTTTAGCTTAAAGTGTGACCAGAATGTCTTCTAGAGTAAGATGGGGTTGAAATTCAAATAAGAATAATTTAGACAATTTCCAATCCATAGTCATGAACTGATAAACAAAATGAGCTGTTTACTTAAATTGATTACACTTTCAGAAAAAATGTTGGAGATATCTTACGTAACAACCACTGCCATAGTTTTACATTATACCTCAATTCCAAAACATCCAGCAGACTGTCTTTCATTCTTTTGACTTTCAAGACTTCAGATTTTGCTTCATTATGGGGAAATTTTTTTCTTAGAGGAACTGCCAGAAATTTGTTTAAGCTATTTAAGGCATTTTTTAGCGGAAACACCTGAAATACACAGCAATCAGTTTATCTTTCCTAAATTTACAATGAGGTGCTTTTCTTCAGCTATATAAAATCTAGATCATTTACGGTACTTCAAGATCTATCTTTATTTACAAAAATATATCCACCAATGAGTGATCTCTATCTATAAAGCCCCAGAGCTGTAATTTCTGAAGATGTAGGGTATATACACAGGCACTTCAAAAACCATTTTAGATCCTTGATTTCTATACAGTCTTCAACGTCTCTAATGATTCATAATGTACAGTCACCATCCAGTGGTTTTATGTTGTATACTAACAAACCTTGGCAGGTACCTCTCAAGGGGCTGTATTTTTCACAATCTATCTCACTGGATGACTGTCACACAAATCCACAATTATAGAAAATTTTAGTGGCACTTAATTAGAGATTTTGAGCTAGTTGTTAGCTTGTATCCATGATAAATTAGGCCACTGTACTTCTTAACTAGGACTTTGAATCCTTATCATAACCCCCTCCCCTTACCTCTCCCCCTCCCCTTACCTCTCCCAATCCCCTTATGTCTTCCAATTTGAAATACTTTCATATTTGTAGATAATTTATGAAAATTAAACAGATGGAGCAAAGCACTATCCTATTCATAAATCCAACAAATTTACTTTAAGGTTTCAACACTGAACATTTCCTGTGAGGAAACAATATTGATGGCCTGAACACTTATTTAAATTAATTCTAAAAATATATTAAATTATGACAACTAAACGGTTTTTTCAGTTATTAAGAAAGACAACAGGTTTTTATCTAACATTTTGGTCAGATAGAGAACTTTCCCATATGTATGGGGTAAGTATCAATGTTATAGGCCCAAATTGGCAATTACTACTGTCCCTATAAGTCATTAATTACAGAAAACAAATATCTCGTCACTGTCTAGATGTGGGGTAGGTCACACTATAGTGGGTGGGGAGGTAGGTTACACTAGCACAAGTAACACTGTGTTACAATAGATAGAGGGAGGGGAGGTCTGGTGGGTCACACTATCATAAGTAACACTATGTTACAATAGATAGAGGGAGGGGAGGACTGGTGGGACACACTATCATAAGTAACACTGTGTTACAAGAGATAGTGAGTGGGGAGGACTGGTGGGTCACACTATCATAAGTAACACTATGTTACAATAGATAGAGGGAGGGGAGGTAGGTCACATTATCATAAGTAACACTGTGTTACAATAGATAGAGGGAGGGGAGGACTGGTGGGACACACTATCATAAGTAACACTGTGTTACAATAGATAGAGGGAGGGGAGGACTGGTGGGTCAGACTCATAAGTAACACTGTGTTACAATAGATAGAGGGAGGGGAGGACTGGTGGGTCACACTATCATAAGTAACACTGTGTTACAACAGATAGAGGGTGGGGAGGACTGGTGGGTCACACTATCATAAGTAACACTGTGTTACAATAGATAGAGGGAGGGGAGGTAGGTCACACTATCATAAGTAACACTGTGTTACAACAGATAGAGGGTGGGGAGGACTGGTGGGTCACACTATCATAAGTAACACTGTGTTACAATAGATAGAGGGAGGGGAGGACTGGTGGGTCAGACTCTCATAATAACACTGTGTTACAATAGATAGTGGATGGGGAGGTAGGTCAGACTCTCATAAGTAACACTGTGTTACAATAGATAGTGGAAGGGGAGGTAGGTCACACTATCATAAGTAACACTGTGTTACAATAGATAGAGGGAGGGGAGGACTGGTGGGTCAGACTCTCATAAGTAACACTGTATTACAACAGATAGTGGGTGGGGAGGACTGGTGGGTCAGGTTATCATAACCTGTACATGATTATAATTAGACTGGTACTGAGGGACACATGTTACAGTATTGTACAGAAAGTGTTTGACAACCATAACTACTGAGGTATAAACATGATATCTGGTTACCAAGTCTGGGTATCAGTTTGTAAACTACAAACATATGTATCTACAGTAGGTAGAAAAATATGTAGTCGGCATAGTAAAGACTCTGGGTACACATGAAATCAACACTATGTTCAGTAATGTTAAGAGTAAAACAAATAAAAGTAAACAAGGAATAGGAATATTTACATCTAGTTACAGTAAAACATGTTTATAACAAACACGCTTACAATGAATTAATGGTTATAACATAGTGTTTTTCATTCCCCATCAATCGCCCTATCATTTATATGTTAAAATCGAAATATATAACAAATTTCACATAACGAATTAATGTCTATAACGTAGCAGCTTTTTGATCCGCTCGTCACACCTGAGTGAAGTCAGTCGTGTGTCCTGTATTGACACCCATTTCCAGGTAAGTTTCAATTACATACAGGTAAAATTGACGAATAAAGTGAGTTGTTGTTATACTTACCTGCGTTCTATTGTTTTTTGAGTTTTGAGTTACTGAACTGATTTTATCGATACAAAATCTTTGCGTTCTGTTCTTGTTGTCTTCATACCAAATTGTTTGTGAAGTAGACAATGATAAGGCTAAAAAGGATATTGCAGAGAGCTTAGAAATTCCAGCAACAACACTGAGTACAATTCTTAAAATTTGAAATGTTTTAAGGGTGTGAAATCTCTACCTGTTGTATATAAGGCAAACGCTAAAGCCTGGATGACATTTAACATTTTTACGGATTGGATTAAAACTCTGGATCCCAAAATGATAGCACAAAAGACCCTTAACAAGATCTCAGACAGTAACAAAAAGCAAACTGTCATTTGTGATTTTTTCAAGTAACTATTCAAGTTTTTCGGAAGCAATGTGAATTGTTGTTTATTTGGACATACTATACATGTAATAAAATATACTCATTAAATAAGACTCCTTTATATTTATTGCATGTACAATTCCTGTAACGAATTATGCATGACTGTTTGCCAAAATTCATTATATGTGTTTAACGAACTATGTTTATAACAAACTAAATTTCTTGGTCCCTAGAGGTTCGTTATAAACATGCTTTATTGTACAAGCCTGTGGCAACATAAACTTTTAAATTCAAAAATAATAATTTTCAAAGAAATATACGACATTTCTTTATTTCTTTTTAGAAAATACAGTTATACATATTTCTACCAGCAGGAAACAGATTTGTATAATAGAAACTGGGGAAAAACAAATTACATTGAAACGGCATCATCAGCACCCTGACTAAAGTATACATCCAACAATGTGGATCAATATAAAAGAAAAAGAATCTTCTACAAGTAATATGTAAACACATGTTATCATAGTGTGTATTAATAAAGAGTAAAAAAGTCACATAAACACATGTCCATGCACTAATGATAAGTAGTATTTCTCAAGGCCTTGTTATTATGCAGATACATACATTCACACGTCTTGATGTTTCTCGGTGACTGAACAGTCTGGAATGTATCTGTATGTCCCACTAGTCTGTACTTTACTTAATTACTAATTTTACATCGAATTAACAATTTTCTAGAATTTGAATTCTTTTAAAGCAATATATCCAGATGCATTTTTTTAAATCACCTTTTAATTTTTAACTTTTTCAGGAAATATTTATGATAATTTAGGAGATAATTAATAGCTAAATAACAAGTAATGAGACCAATTTAGTCCACTACAACAACTGATTTGTTTAAAACTTCATAAATTTGTTTTATACTATTTGTAAATATCTGCATCATTACATGTAATGATATGCTACAGTAGTATATTGATATCAACAAGTTATGTATGACTAAAGTGGACCTTTTATGTTATCGTATTCATGGAAATAACATGTGGGTTAATCCATGAAAGCATTGTTAGCTTTCATGTCAAAAATATATATATATAATTTCAGTTATCTATGAGGAATCTTTACCTATAATTTTATTGATTGGAACAACACAGAACTGTTAACAGGAGGAGATATGCCGGTCAACAAAACATCAAAAGCATCTGATACAAGCTTGAAATTTTAAGGACATGTGAGCATTCTTCAAATTCCGGTGGAAAAAAGGGAGTATTCCCAAAGTTGTCTCCCTTGTTCATCCTACAATACACAACGAATCACACACACACATCTAGATAATGTGCGTTCGCTGATTTAAAACATACATTAATCTGGCAATATTTTCAAACCAAGGGTTTTGTGATCATATAGCGAATAGAGGTCCTACAAAGCTATGAGCCTGATGATGATTTGTCAAACTGGAGCTAACGAATGTATTATCTTCCAAGATGGCGTCGTGTATTCCACTTCCGACATCAAAGTCTGATGAATTTATGTATGTTTTATATATATTATGAATAAAATTCAATCAATTACCATTTCTGCTGACATCCATTTCCATGAGGTTGGTAAAACTGGCCACATCTGACGATAATCGACATATTTCATTGTCACTTAAACTCAATTTCTTCAACTGTACCAAGCGAAAAAATCCCTGAAAGACAAACGAGAAATGTTAGGTTCGGCTCGGTGCTATCAACATAATTAGGCGTGTTTAAGACATAATGATGTTAGTCAGATTTATACATACCTTAGGAAGGTCCTTTAGCTGATTAGCATCTAAAAGCAATTCTTCCAAACTACGTGTGTATCTTAAAACATCATCTGGAACATCAGTAAGGTTGCAGTGTCGCCTATCGATATATTCGACCTGGCGATTGCACGCCTTGAATAACGGAATACACTTAAACATGACGCTTGTTAGCTACCAACGTCCATCCAGGACACGTAAAATATCCTTAAGAGTTCATCAAACATAAAACGGAGGAGGAATAACAGAATAAAACAAGGATATAAGGCTAAAAGTGTCTACTCCATCGTCAGTTTCGAATAGAGCTACATTTAGCCGCGTGACGTCACGTTCTACCCATCATGCATTTGCACAACAGGTACGCGATATAATCTTCCAGCACCGAAATAGGTGCGATATATCGTGTTATTTACTTCCACATTTTTCCCGTTTTGAGAATGACAAGCTGTCAATGTTTACACTGTGAAAAATCAGTATAAATATATGTGCATATCATTAGCATGATATTTGCTGGACGATCGGCCGTGAAATCTTTAATTAGGCCCAGTCTGGCCAATGACAGGTGTGAAATTCCTACCTCAATCCACGCTATAATGCCTCGTCACCTTCCCGATACAAAATAAAAAATAATCAAATGATTCCTTTTCAACTCTAAACGCATATTTAAGATATAATGATATTTACTGAGGCGTTGTGTTGCGATATTTTTAGTTCACAATGAAACGTTATGTGCAAGTTCAATGTTCTTTTACAAAGAAAGGATAACAACCAAGCTTACAGTACATAATAGAAAAAGAAAAGCATGATTGATTAGCATTGAACAGATGTTGACTTTTAATTGTGTTGTGCGTTTGCCTTCCTTTATAACTAAATCCCATAAAATTTCATATATATCAAATATTTAGAATATTGTCAGTAACGAACTTAGTGAAATTGTCTTACTTTTGTGGTGTGTTTGGTAAAAAAATAAAAAAAATGATCAATTTTAGCATTTCTAACACGATATAGGATTACACGCGAGAAAGAAAAAAAAATAAAACAGTTTAATTAACGTGAAGGTAGTGTGGAATCTCATGGAGGCAAAAAGGAGGGGGAAAGTGGGAAATAGAATCAATATTAAGTTTTTAATCCTTCTTCTTTTTTGAGATTAAAATATGGTCCGTCACATGATATACAGGGCAATTAGGGTAAACGTTTCTTGTCCAAGATCACTACAGACTGGTCAGCCCTTACCGGGGATTTTCGGTTGTGATTACATAGACCAGCAAGTTATTGTGATGTGGTATACAGACGGGGATGGCCATGCTCTTTTCGTCCGTATTTTGCATCCACAGGTGAAGACATGAGGACACAGTATAGAAATGAAACGTTATATTTCACTATTAAATTGTCACACATTTTAGAAACACAAAAGTACACCAACCAGGTACGTGTATGATTTAGTAAAATGCCTTATACTAGAGACGTATAATACAGACATTACAGACCAGTCACGGCAATGATTTCTGAATTACACAATATACCGTATTTCCTGTCTTACCAACTTTACAAAACATTATAAACTCTTATAGAATTTCAATATTAAAATAGTAACACAAAGATTATAAAAAAAACTCAGGTCATAATTATGTTCTGTGAGGTCGCCACCAGCTAGGTGATCAAACTTTTTTTCATTGATTGTTGGCCAAACAGTCCATGATGAAATATCAAACTAAAAGACGTGTAGAGCGTATGTGTCATACATGTCTCTGTATACTTCAAAATAAATCTTTAATTTCAAAATGTCTAGCTGTTCACGAGGAGATAAAAACAACGAGATGCTCTATCTAACAGTGGTTTACCTGTAATACGAGAAAAGATTATCCCTAAATATGATATAATTGTGTTGTGAGTAGAGGTCTCCATAACTTGTCACAGGGATGTGGTACCTAGAGGTCTCCATAACGTGTCACAGGGATGTGGTACCTAGAGGTCTCCATAACGTGTCACAGGGATGTGGTACCTAGAGGTCTCCATAACGTGTCACAGGGATGTGGTACACGAGCCTTCATATACAATATAATTGTGTTGTGATTAGAGGTCTCCATAACTTTTCACAGGGATGTGGTACCTAGAGGTCTCCGTAATTTGTCACAGGGATGTGGTACATGAGCTCTCAAATACGATATAATTGTGTTGTGATTTGAGGTCTCCATAACTTGTCACAGGGATGTGGTACACGAGCCCTCATATACAATATAATTGTGTTGTGACTAGAAGTCTCCATAACTTGTCACAGGGATGTGGTACCTAGAGGTCTCCATAACTTGTCACAAGGATGTGGTACCTAGAGGTCTCCATAACTTGTCACAGGGATGTGGTACCTAGAAGTCTCCATAACTTGTCACAAGGATGTGGTACCTAGAGGTCTCCATAATTTGTCACAGGGATGTGGAACCTAGAAATTTCCATAACTTGTCACAAGGATGTGGTACCTAGAGGTCTCCATAATTTGTCACGGGGATGTGGTACATGAGCTATCAAATACGTTATAATAGTGTTGTGACCATCTGTCTATACGTCTCCGCCCATTTATGTTCAGGGCCACGGACCAGATCTACACTCACCTCTCTCTTGGTTTATGGCCGTTTTGAATGCGTCGGACCATGTTTTTAATACAATTGGCCATATTGCCACAATGTTTTTAGAAGAAACAAGAAAGTTCCGGAATTTTTAAAATTGATAGGTTCAATAAAAAACCCTTGATGAGGGTAACAACAGGAAGTTTAAAGTTGATCATACTCACCAAAGCTGATATGGTTACAAGACTTTTTGTCGTTTTTACTGGAGATTGATTCATTATGCTGGTATTACTGATATAAAGTAATAAAACATCTATTTATACATCTTCCGAGGGCGAAACCCAATTTATCTGATTGTCATACCAGAAGTTATCTGCTTCGTATAATTGCATTGCAATGACATATTTTCATTTTAAATACATTTTTGTATAGCTGCATTATTTTGACAACTTTTCATTTTCTGAATAATTTTTTGCATGTCACCATTATATTGACAATTTTTTATTTTAATATATTTTTGCATGTCTGCATTATATTGACAATTTTTCATTTTTAATATGTTTTTTCATGTCACCATTATATTGACAACAATTCTAGATAATGTTTTGCATGACTGCGTTATATTGACAACAATTCTAGATAATGTTTTGCATGGCTGCGTTATATTGACAACAATTCTAGATAATGTTTTGCATGGCTGCGTTATATTGTCAACTGTCTTTAATATATCTTCTGATCCGACAGATGCTTTTATAATCATGTAAGTAATGTTACAGAGGAAGAGACATCATGAAAGAATAATTATTGCGTTCGAATGAAATATCATCGCGATGAAACGCTTTTACTTGTACCGAGTAATATTTTTTTTCACTTTGTCCGACAACAGCCATCCTAGATTAAATTTCTGAAATTTCTGTTTTTGTTGATGTAATTCAAAAACTATGTAACAACAACTTAGGACAAAACACCCTTTAAAATCAACAAAGCATCTTCATGAACTTACCGATCAATATTTCTGTATAGAAGTAGTAAAGAAGTTTCATTTCATTTTAATTTATTTACTCGAAAATAAAATGAATATTGGAATCGATTTTTTTACCAACCGTGACACTGTCCTAAATAACAAAAGGTAACATTTAATCAACAGTGACACTGTCCTCAAAATAAAAGGTCACATCTAACCAACAGTGACACTGTCCTAAATAACAAAAAGTCACATCTAACCAACAGTGACATTGTCCTAAATAACAAAAGGTTACATCTAACCAACAGTGACACTGTCCTAAATAACAAAAGGTTACATCTAACCAACAGTGACACTGTCCTCAAAATCAAAGGTCACATCTAACCAACAGTGAGACTGTCCTAAATAACAAAAGGTCACATCTAACTAACAGTGTCACTGTCCTAAATAACAAAAGGTCACATCTAACCAAAAGTAACACTGTCCCAAATAACAAAAGGTCACATCTAACCAACAGTGACGCTGTCCTCATGTCCTAAATAATAAAAAAAGTCACATCTAACCAACAGTGACACTGTCCTAAATAACAAAAGGTCACACATAACCAACAGTGACGCTGTCCTCATGTCCTCAATAAAAAAAAGGTCACACATAACCAACAGTGACACTGTCCTAAATAACAAAAGGTCACACATAACCAACAGTGACGCTGTCCTCATGTCCTAAATAATAAAAAAGTCACATCTAACCAACAGTGAAACTGTCTTAAATAACAAAAGGTCACATCTAACCAACAGTGACACTGTCCTAAATAACAAAAGGTCACATCTAACCAACAGTGACTCTGTCCTCATGTCCTAAATAATGAAAAGGTCACATCTAACGAACAGTGACACTGTCCTAAATAACAAAAGGTTACATCTAACCAACAGTGACACTGTCCTCAAAATCAAAGGTCACATCTAACCAACAGTGAGACTGTCCTAAATAACAAAAGGTCACATCTAACTAACAGTGTCACTGTCCTAAATAACAAAAGGTCACATCTAACCAAAAGTAACACTGTCCCAAATAACAAAAGGTCACATCTAACCAACAGTGACGCTGTCCTCATGTCCTAAATAATAAAAAAAGTCACATCTAACCAACAGTGACACTGTCCTAAATAACAAAAGGTCACACATAACCAACAGTGACGCTGTCCTCATGTCCTCAATAAAAAAAAGGTCACACATAACCAACAGTGACACTGTCCTAAATAACAAAAGGTCACACATAACCAACAGTGACGCTGTCCTCATGTCCTAAATAATAAAAAAGTCACATCTAACCAACAGTGAAACTGTCTTAAATAACAAAAGGTCACATCTAACCAACAGTGACACTGTCCTCAATAGCAAAAGGTCACATCTAAACAACAGTGACACTGTCCTAAATAACAAAAGGTCAAATCTAACCAAAAGTGACACTGTGCTAAATAACAAAAGGTCACATCTAACCAACATTTACACTGTCCTAAATAACAAAAGGTCACATCTAACCAACAGTGACACTGTCTTAAATAACAAAAGGTCACATTTAACCTACAGTGACACTGTCTTCATGTCCTAAATAACAAAAAGTAACATCTAACCAACAGTGACACTGTCCTAAATAACAAAAGGTCATATCTAACCAATAGTGACACTGTCTTAAATAACAAAAGGTCACATCTAACAAACAGTGACACTGTCCTCATGTCCTAAATAACAAAAAGTCACATCAAACCAACAGTGAAAC